CGTATGGCATTTAACGGTCACAAAAAACCTATTCGAGCTACAAGGAAGGAAACATCTATATCGAGAATACATACATATGTATTATTTCTCCTTAATCGTGAACTTTACGAACAAAGACGTCTTGTAAAAATAAATTGAATTTTTCTAAACTGAAAGTCTATCTCGAAGCAGCGACCTATAGCGAAGCTATACGCATGTATGTATTCTCGTGTCGCCACGTGCGTAGGATACCAGTTAATTTCCAGCTATGCCGGTTTTTATGCTCGCCGTAAATTTCGTAATTTTGACCTCCGTGTTCCAAGCCGTAATATTCTTCCACAATTCGCGATTAACTCCCTGTGCCTACGCCATCGTTTTCGATACGAATCAATTCAGGCAATGTATATGTATAGTTAGTGCACATCAGCTGTGCGTTTTCCTTTCAAATATTATTCGGCGAGCTTGACACGCCACGCATAACCATGCTCGATACAATAATCAACGATATAGACAGAAACTACAAACTGAGCGTTTTTCTATTTCATACTATTTTCGAGAAAAGAAATGATGATATCGAGACGTGAGGACAAAGGGATTTACGCACGGTCGTTGACCATTAACAACGTCCAACGAAAATTTTGTAACGATGATTCTGGACTTACCCATGTGTGCGAGGTCGATGATCGGCACTTCGCACTTGCTTAGAAGCGTCTCGCATGTCTGGGTTACAATCGGGGCACTCGTGCAGCAGCTCATCTTACTCGATGGCTGGTTGTTCGTCGAAATGAGATTTCTATCGTTGTCTTTCTCTCTCCTCCTCCTCGTTCTCGTTCCTTCTCGCTGCTCGGTCCTCGGCTGCTCTCGCAATTTCGTATCTTGTCCCCGATCTTTCCGTACCGTTTACTCGATTCTTTTTTCGTGCCGCGACTTTAAAGCTGTTTCGTCGCCTTTTCTATCTCGGAACCTCCACGCCTTCTTTGTTCTTCGCAGCACCGATAGAAATCGAGGATGGAAAATATACGTAGCTCGACCGCAGGACGCGTTCTGCACACTACCACTCACCACGTGCGAATCTCTCGCCCACCCGGTACAGACGATCCCCGAACAATTTCACTAGAATATCCAAGAAAAAATCATACTATCACCGCACACGTATGATGACGCTTTCTTTTGTGCCTAAAGCCTGCCAGCACTCGAGTGTTGGTAAAAACCTGCGATGGCGTTGCCGGTTTTTGTTGCGAGAAAAGTGTACGGGCACGGTGTCACGGCAACCCTAACGGTAGCCGTACGAGACGAGTTTATTGTGAGGCTGATGATGCGGCAGGTAAACGTGTACGTGACTGTGAACTGGTGGGCACATGCTACGCTATCGTCGAAGTGGCGGACGACCGAGTATCGAGAGAAAAAAGAAACAATGAGACACCGAAACGATCGTAACTGACTCGCGAACGCTCGTTGACTGAGGCCGGCGATTCGTGCGAACTAACCGGACGCGCGCCTGTTAACCCGAGTCGAGCCGACAGCGCCCGAGGACGCTCGAACGATGGTACGCCGAGCCGAAATCGGACGAACGCGCACGAACTTCGTCGAATGGTCGATTTTGAGATTCGGTTCGTTCGCGCGCTTTGACAAAGAGAACAAAAAATCGTTCTATAATAGTTTTTTACTTATATTCGAGGATCGATTAGTTTATTTACATATATTTCCTATCGTAGAACATATACGTGTCTTTTACTTGTATTATGGATCGCTTCAGGTCGAGTACACGAATTTTACAATGCCTAAATATTAGAAATTGAAATATTTCATTGACTCTATATACAAATCATGTTTAGAAAAATGTGCTATCAAGTTAAATCGTTACGAACCTGAATGTCGATAAAGTATGACACACGAGACTCGAGACTTGCGCGTATGTTCGCTCCGCAAATGTGCTTTGCGTGATGCTTTGAACCGTACTGCACTCCCGCGAACGATCTTCAATTACTAACGCAAGATTCGTCGATCCCCACCACTCGTTGGTCTCCCTCGATCTCGCGGCTTACCTCTAATCATTGCAATTACAAATTCGTCGTTATCTTCCATGTTGTGATCCGCGACGTTTCCGAACGGACTTAAGCTCTCCTTCGTCGTTCCCAGAGATCCTTGCGAAAACCCTCTGTAATGCGTCCGAATGATAAACATCGGTGTGGACCTGTTTTCGTATGCTTCTGGATCCCTCGATTATGTTCGCCGGCTGTTCCACGAAAAAACGAAATCGGTCTCGATCCCACGGGCCGCACTGCGATGCTCGTGCTTTTTTTAGATGGCCAATAAATTCTGGAGAAGCGCGGACCGTCTACCTTCGATGAAAGATGATTTGCTCCGATGTTTAAGAACGGCTTCGATTGGTTTTAGTCTTTCTGTTGACGTGTGACGCGCCTGGAACAAGCTGTTCGTCACAAGGTGTTTTCAACACTCTAAATAAAATAAAGATAAGGGTTCCTTGAAATGGAAAACGTTGTGTTGATCAAAGCAACTATTGTATTCCAACATGTAATAGTCGTCTTTCTCTTCTGGGTGTGCGTGAACCCCCAGAGGTCCGCGGATTACAGCTTGCAAAACACTGTTACAGATTATCTTGATTTATTTGTTTTGAAGATGACCACAAGCAGAGGGTCGAAGACATCCAATAATAAATGGCTTGTATACGACTACATGATGTGACGTCAATGAGTTTTCCACTACAACATCTATTCGTAATAATATGACGACAAGCAAGCTTTATTCGAACGTATTTGAACCTATCGTTCTATTCCTGATGACGTTCCCTCTTCTTCAACGCGTGTCTTCGCCGTGTGAGCGTTTCTTGGCTATGGTGTGCTGCTCGTGAACGCTGGGTCGAATTTTCGCGGTTTCGAGCATCCCGCGAACTCGGTTGGAATACTTGCTCACAGGCGACGAATTCGCCGTCGTGGAAGAGGAATTCGAGTCGTCTTCTGCGCCACCTTTATTTTTAGAGCGAACGCCTTTCGACGATGACACCAGTTTCATTTTTTTCTTGCGACGTTTGTCGGGCCTCTTTGTTTCCCGCGAGGGTCGCGCATCCCAGTTCGTGGGGGATGTGCTCGTGTTCCCTCCCTCCGTTTCAGAGCTGTATCGAGAACGATAACGGTTGCCCGCTTATCATCTGTCTATCTGTCGACATAAGGGGTGTATCATTTAAATTGTTTCCTGAGGAGTAACGCTGAACGACGGAACCAATCTAAATGAAACACCCTGAAGAGCGAGGAAGTTTCTAAAGCTTCGACTAGTGACCCGAGCCCTTAAAATTGATCGATCGGGCATCACGCTAGTTGTAATTACTTTCAAGGGTACGTTAGCGCCGATGCGAGCATGAACGGGAATTATCTTATCCGCGGATGAAGACCGCGCGCTTAATGACCCGACGCCGCTTATCGTACGCGGCGCATTGAGCATACGATATTAATTGTAATTGCTCGAATGATTCATGAAGTTTAATCTATTTCTGTCGCGGCGAGTGTATTTATTCACAAATTCGTGATCGTTTTACCTTGTACCCTCCAACGATACGCTGGTGGATTCGTTGACGAAGGTCGCAGGAAGATGATACGAGTGACACGTCCCGCACAAAAGCCTGCGCGTAATCTGTAAAGATAGAGGAAATCGATTAGGAGCAGTCTCATTGAAGCCATCGAATAACAAAGGTTATGAACAAAAATTAACGGGGCAAATGGCAGCGTACCTTCGCGATTAAAAAGGCTAAGAAGACTTGAATGATCACCAACGTGCTCGTCATGACGTAGGCCACGATGACGATCCTGAGAAGAACGGGGCTGACGACTTTCGCGCAGCCGTTCGTGTTTATGGTCCTGACATCGCCATCCAGGAGTTCCGTGTGCTCGCACGGCGACATTGCGCGCAGATTGCAGCAGCTGAAGGGAACACCTCGATCTCTGTACTCCTCGTCAGACACAGGACTCTGGACCGCCATTTCCTCCCTGGAAGCGTAGTCCACCCCCTGACGGAGAGAACGAGACTTTCGTGACGCTTTTAAAACGCGAGCTGGTCTCGTTTTTTCACAGTTTTGTACCGTGTCGCGCGGTTACCCTTCTTGAGTTTCGTGGAATTCACCTGCCAGTCGAAGAGGAACCAGTCTACGTAGGAGGAGTGACCGCAGCATTGGAAGATGAACTGTATTTCGTCGATCGCGGACTTGTACGATACAGCGCTAGCGTAGAGACGCATGGAGCTGTTGAAGACGTCGACCAGGGTGTCCTCCCTGACGCTCATGTGATATCCTATCGAGGCCAACGTGGCGGCGTTCATTACCGCGCATATCGCTATTATTACCAGCAAGCATCGCAGCACTCGTTTCGTCTCCGCGCAGCACCGTGGCACCTTCCGCCTGAACAAAGAAAATTTGTTAGATCTATCTTTAGTATTTATGGAATACTGTTGGGTAGCGCAGAGATATCTAACGAGGCAGAAATCGCAGTTAACGAGGCGTTACGTAGATAACGAGTACGACATCGGGTAATTCCAACGAAATTGGACGATGAGTACAATTTGAGCGGATATCTAGTGTATGCACGATTGAAAAAATAGTCAGATAAGTCGTTAGACAACTAGATTCGAAATACTTACGCTCTGATGGTACGTACAGTGATCAGGGCAGTAGGCAGGCCCAAGCTGACGTTCACTAAGGTGAACACGACCGGTCGCAGACCACCCGCGAATCGAATGATCTGCCATTCGGCGAATATCTCTAAGATCAACACGAAGAAGCGCTTAGCCTCGAAGATGGCCAGTGTGACCGCTACGCCGTAACCGAATCTCACTTCCCATCCGCAGTTGCACGGGAGCCGTGCGTTCCTTTTAAATACCACGTTGCTAGTCGGGCTGCTCTCGTTGCTCGACATTCAACGATAGTTGCCGCTTTCTGGAACTATGTGCTAGACTCCCCCTTCAGCTGATCCTCTGTTTACCTGAAAATATCTTCTAAGCAGTTCCTATTTAATTATCCTGATCTCGATGCAGCGACTTATAAGGATACGATCGACATTCATTTTTGACGTGAAACGTAAACGTAAAAACGTTACAATGTTTGCTTATTGATTTAGCAAAGGATGCAGAACGGTGTGACCGTCACGGACGGTGTAGCGTCGTTCCGATGTCATGCACGTTCATTGAGAATAATTTCGACCGGAAGTCCCAGCCGGAGAAACATGTTTTCCCGAGGCTGAAGCGCAATTAGTTAATTCGCGACAGTAATTGAAGTAAGCAAGTCGTTCAGCCTTTTTACGCGTTATTTACTCGTTAAAAAAACATTCAACGAGCCACCTGCGATTCCTCATCGTAGCGAGAGGCTTCACGCCAGAGGCAAGATACAAAGATAAACGTAAACTCCGTTTGGACCCGGGGCCCGCGAAAGTAAGTCACGCCACTGTCGCGAAACCCATTCGTTCCGTCGCCGCGGTGTTTATCGGGCACGTGACGATGTCCAGAACGTATCTAAGATTAATTGACTCTGTCCTGGAAGCTCTCCTACGCTAGGTCGATTCGTTTCAGATGAGTCGACCTTTGATTCGATTAACGTCGACCTTTTAATTAGACGTTCGCGTCTGCCTCGCCTGAATTAGCCTAACAGCGAACGAAAAACGGATGCCGAACGTATCCCGTTCGATCAATATTGGCGAGGAGAGTTCAAGGACGGTATTATGATCTTCGTCGAGGCATTTTTTTATCGCCTGCTGACGGAACACTCACCAGACGCCATGGCGCGAGAGATAAGGCAGTCTCCTCTAAAATTATGAAATCGCGGAGAGGTATCGCGTACTTTGAAGGATTTCCGTGAAAGCTAACGAGAACGGCCGATGCGACGTTGTCTTCGTTTCGGGACCAATTTCGCTCGTGGGTAAATTATAACCATGGCCGATCGATTCGTGAACACTCTAGTTGATAATTTAATGCTGCGAAGGTAGATACGTAAAATATGTAACTAACACAGTCGTGCAGGGGTACGGTAAGCACGATCAGCGCCGAGTATTAGGATCGGATAATGTGCTGTATTTGTATTTACGCGCGGTGTTGTATTACAAAACATGTAAGTACGATTAAGGCTTAAAAGGTAATTTCTACTTGTCGCTGGATTTATTCTATCCGCAGGTACTTAAAGGCTTAAATCTAACTATACAATTCCGTACAAAAGATTCTTTTTATCCTACGCTTATCATCTACATTGAGCTTCGTCTCTATAGTCTACTTCTTCTTTTACTACTTTAACGTATGTTCGTTGTCTCCTGACGCCATCCGGTAGAAAGGTTTAACCCGTCTACCGCCGGCGGTTCTACCTTAACTCTAGCTCACATGACGCGGTAATTATAAATATTAACGTAAGAATTCTTAATACCGAAGTTCCAGAACGCCAGGAACGGCAAGTTCTCGGTCAGATACATGGCCAGTCGCATTTGCCCGTTGAAGTACGCTCTGAAGATCCACGACCACCAATTCGCGCTAGCCAGCAGGTACTTGTGGGTCATCATTTGAAGATTAAAGATAAATTTACTGTACCACGACATGTTCGACGTATCTGAAAACAGTGATTGATTCAGATCTCGTGGATTCCGTATGTTCGTGGACCCTTACCTATTTTCAACGAGTGATTGTTATTCGTGGCGGTGGAGGACGCCAGTGTAAGGGTGAACGCGACGAAGGCAGTGGAATCCATGTAAGGATTCATGGGCCAGAGAGCTTTTATCAGAGCGTGACTCATCTCATCGAACTCCTTGATATCCCTGGCGAGCGACGGAAGGAAGACTTCGTCCAGGAGTCGTCTGCAGAGTGCGCGGGTCTCTTCGACGCTTCCTGAGCAGATGTTGTACCTGCGGAAAGTAAGAATAATTAAGTATACATTGAGGACGTAAGGGAGGCGCGAAGAACGGAATTAGCTGGACTGGATGCGCACTTGTCTTCCATTCCCAGCATGCTGCCAACCACGCGCCAGAAGTGAATCAGTCCCTCGAGTTCGTCGAAGCTGTTATTCACCCCGAGATAGTCGCCGCCCAGAAGGGTGAACCCTACGAAACCGAACTGAGTCAACGCCATATCCAGCTGCGAGACTCTGTCGAGGCCAGCGTCCGAGCTTCTGCGAAACGCCACGCAGTGCTTTTTCCGCACGATCCTCAGGGAGTCCAGGAACCTGCAACAACATCGGAGACTCTTTGTTACATGCGAACGCAAATGTTGGACATTTCTCTATAATTACTTATGGTTAAATAATATTTCCAGAACAGCAAGATCAACGACTAATTTAATGAATTCATTCGACATTCACGTACGACAGGTATTCCGCGAATATTGCAGTGTCTTCCAGGCCTGCGATAATATTTATTCAGAGGCACGTTTACTGGCGAATACATTCGGCAAGATAAATCGATTAAAATACCGAATCTGCACGCGCCTCGATTCCTCGAATGCCAATGAGACACCCGATTCTACCCGACAGGATATTTTTGTCGCTTCGCACCGCGGCTCCTCGACTCTTTTTTTTCCCCCAACGCCTGCTGTAAATCTATAATTCGCAGAGGCACCCGTACTATTTTTCCTATAAATTCTCGCTGCCAATAAAAAGCAGCATCGGTGTTTGTTTCCGAAAACGGAGCAAGTGCGACAGCCTCGGAAGAAAGTCGACGCGAAAACGTTGCCCCTATTAATAGCAACAGACAATGGGAATAGAATCTATTTAAAGCGAATGCTATTCCGAACATGTATCACGTTTCTGAGTCACAAATCGGCTTAACGCACGGGATGCCCAAGGAAGTTACACTATTCCTGGTTGCGAAGCAGTCCTTGCGAGTACCAGACTCCGAATTAACATATTAACGCTCAATGTTTGTGTTGATACTCCTGGCAGACATCGCTTGCGCGAGAGTCGTCGAACACTTGCCGATTTTAACATAACTCATAATTTAACTTCATAATCTGTAAGAGAGGAACGAATAGAATTTAAATGGAAAGTGTCACGAATCCATAAATCAGTCACAAACGCCAAGTACGCTTACTTTTTCTCTACAACTGGTTTCTTCTCGTACCAGACCCAAGTGTGCAGAATCGTGGACACGTATCTGCGAAACGCAGCGCAGGACGTGCAGCTCTGCTTGGTGAAGAGCAAAACAGCTCTGATCGACGGTATAGCGAACAAGCATAACAGCCCGCAGAGCTTGGCGACCATCATGGTGAAAACGTTATTGTTGAACATCCTCTGGCCGAGGGAAAACTTCTTCGCGTCGAAGAAAGGCGGTAATTCCGGTTGCAGCCATTCTGGGTTCATGAAACTGTTTGCTCCTTCCTTGAGCAGCGTCTGCAGCCTCTGCTCAACGACATCTGAGAACAAGGAGAATAAATGTTAAAATAATGTTAGAACAGGTTAGAAGATTCGTCGACGCTTGAATCTTAAATCTCTTTTAGAGACTCCTGAGGAGTCTGAGGACCTTTAGAACCCGCAGTTTGGACCTCTTGATCTCCGCAACGTCTATATTCATCCCTATTGGTATACTATCTCCTGAATTTGGATCCCACGGCTACCTATCGAGTTTCAAAGCTTTGTTTTCTCCAGTATCGAGGCTCCGTGTTCCACCTGGCGTCGCCGCACGCGATACCAGATACACCCTTATCAATCAGTGTTGGGTCGAATACGATCCGAAACGATTAACGAGTAATCAGCAAACGTGATCAATGATCGATCGACGAACATGATTAATTCATGAATCCAGACAACAATTCATTGACTACTCCCGATCGCGTTCTACCGTTCGTTCAGGTTTGCATTTCGTAATTAACATTCGCTGCTTTCTACGATTCGCTTTCGCGTCGCAGGGGCTCGTTTTGGACATAATAGCGATCAAAGACGGCCCAGGAGCGGAACATCCTCACGTAATGCTCTGCAGTGGTCGTTACGATCCGGGGAATTTGTAAAACACGAGCCCGTACAAGTGGCACGTACCGCGTGTGGGTGATCTTACGATTTGATACGACGGAATTCATTTGGTATTCAGAGCCATCGAAAGTGGATACATCTGTGCAGTGGACGCGACGTGAATGAGAAAATCGACGCTGGAAGTCTAATATACAACGAGGGCCTCGATCGAGCACATTGTGTTAGATGCATTTGCGGATAGCCTGGGAAAATAGGCTGTTGGTTAGAGAGAAAAATGGTTAGAGAGGCTTCGAAGGATCGCGTCCTTCGTCTATCGTGACGAAGATTAAGCGTACGTGTTAGAAAATGGGTGAAAAATTTTGTCGACCTACGAGGATTCGAACACGGGACCCTTGGGGTGGCAGGCGAACGCTTCCCCAACTGAGCTATTCCACCTTCTACCAACATTGCTCTTGTTTGATTAATAACTGCAAGTGGTACTACTACGATGTTACTTTCGATAATTCTTTCTTAGTTAAAGTTCTGTACTAAAACATTTCTGCTTCCATCGCATCTACCAACGATAACGACCTCCTCGTGGACGTTGCAACGGTTCAGATTGAAATTCGAAAAAGCTCGCGATCGAAACTATTTCGTCGCGTTTACACTCTAGACACGTGTTCTAGAAAGTTAGATCATCGAGATTATGTCATCGATGTCCTTGCGTAAAAATTGATGTTACTTTCACCGAGCCACGTTTCGATTCCTCTGTCGATTCCTGTCTGTTCCTTTCATCCGATCAAATTTTCACTCCGCCGTAATAACTATACCATAACCTCGACTCTTTTCCTAAACTCCGGATAATTATCTACTAAACACCAAATAAAATAAAAAAAAAAAAATAAAAAAAAAATTGTATCCATACAATTGACCGAGTTATTATTATTTTTTTTCTTTATCTCAGGATGCATTTAAATTTCTAACTTCGCCGAGTTATTTTGTTACACATTGTACCCTCGAACAAAAAAGGTGAAGCCTCTAATTAAAAAAAAAAAAAAAAATGTTCATTGATCAATTTCCTATTCATTATTTAAATTTAAATAGAGCTTTCGGCCGTATTTGGTAATAATTCCCGACAGTTTGCTGTCGTCTTAGCCGTCTATCCGAAGCTGCACAAGTGCACACGCCTATTGCACGCGAAGCTCGAACGATGAAAGTGAGTCGAGGTCGCCGCGTTTCTATTCGTACTTTCATTGGACGCTGCATGTTTAGAACCTGTGTGCAATACGTTGAGAAACGCGAAACGAGATGTTAAGTGACGCTCGATGATAACCAGCAGCCTCTGCCAAGTGGACGGGCGATGTTAACGATCGTAATGGGTCGTGCCATTAAAATGGCTGCTGAAATTTCGCTTCGACGTCGTAAATCGCAACTTATAGCCCGCTCGGTACGGCAGAGAATCATTAATCGATAAAGGTTCGAAACGAGGGAATTTTCGGCAGATATATGAAAGTATTACACATCTCGAAGAAACTCGTTTGCAACCAGGATGTCTCTCGCTGATTAATTCCTCGGAATAGTGTCAGCGACTTCAAGGATAAAAAAATTCTCTATGAATTTTAAGTAATCGTTTAAAATGTCGACGTCGTCTCATAAGACGATCTTTTTTTTAGGCCTTCCTTTCGGACTACAAGAAATTGATGATATTATTTTTTGTCTACCGAGTTCAAAGTGGATCTTAATCGCTCTCGTAACTCGGCACAACGCGAGAAATTAAGTGTTACATAAATAATAGACGACAAACTGCTTGCGTGATAATAATTGGGTTATGCGGATTAATTACGCACGTAACGAGTACGTAACCTCCACATTTTTAAAATGATGTTTTCAAGCATTTGTATGCAGTCGTACACGATATACAAATTAAGGGAGCACACAATGCTACCTTACTAATAAAAAATAAAATTCTGGTTGCCATGGAAAAAGGACAAAATCACCCGGTCGGTGAAGTATCAAGACCACTCATTTGTCCGACTGCGATAGATGCAAACGTAAATTTAATCTCGAATACACCTAATTTCCTTCTCGCCCCTAATAAATCCACGTCCAATCAATTTCCTAAAATTGTTCAAAATAGCTCCGAGTATTTGAAAGTTTTCGCAAAGATGTACATCCCTTACTACAAAGCGCGTAATTCGATTCGCCGAGTGCACAACAACTGCGTTAATCTCGTTAAAAATGCGCGATAACTGGTTCACTGAACTTGGCAAGATGAACACTGACCTGTCAGATCATCCTCGTAGCTCTCAACGCGCTCGATACTCATATTTCCGTTTCGATAGATCCACGGACGTGATTCTACGATGAACTTGCAACTGCCATCGAGTGCACTACACCGTCAACTGGCGTGGTTTCACCGTGAAAGTTGCGTTGCTGAGGGAATCGCTAAACCGGACAGGCATCGGCCAAGTCTAGCTTATCGCTATTTGAACGGAATACGCCATCGAGCAACGAGTCTAGCGTACCGTCACCGATCGTAACAGTAACGCATAGTACAAGGGAAGGAAAGAAACTGGTTTCTACCGTACATCTTCGGGGAAAGGTAACGTCCTCCTACCTTTCGCTCACTCCTTCCTCCTTCCGACGTTTTAATGTTACCTGTGTAATGTTCTTAATCTCCGCGTGAAACGGTCCACGCAGACCACCTGTTAGTCCTTGACAATCGAGAATCTCACGTTCGTGGAATAGAGTCCGTACATGGGCTGAGAATTAGAAAAAAAAAAGAAAAAAGAAATCGAGTCTTGGAGGTACAGAGGTCGAGGTTGGCAGTCATTTTAAGGTTAAGGGAAGATTAAACATACCATAGGAACGTGCAGGTACCCTTTGGGTAACTGTTTTCGACGGATATCCTTAATCCAGGTATCGATCACAATCCACAAGAAAATAACGCGATACGATGTACTTGTCACTGGGAGAAACTGCTTTCTCCTCGCGCACATGGACACAATTTTTCCCATGGTAAATATTAACGGTTCACACACAAAATTTAATTTGTACTGATTGAGGGCACACGACGATGGAAGCATGCATGCGGAACACAGGTACATTGCGCGCTCTTACGGGCGGATGAAGAACACAATAAAGGACAGAGGTTTATGAATAGTCTATGAATAGTAACCTCTCTCTTTCTCTCGCTCTTTGATGTGCTCACACAGCAACAGGGATGAAGGCGATGGAGGACGATAAGAATCATGACACACAACCATGATTTCTTTTATCTTCCTCAACACGATTGTTACTGCTCTGTTTTTCTTATAACGTCTTCGACACCTCCACAGGACGACACTGTTATCTCTATCAGACTACACAAGTACACAAGTGTAAGAAGTCGCGAGCAATTCTTCGATATCCTAGGTACCAAAGGTACCTAGAACAGTCGGTAACTAGACCAGTCGGAAACCCCTCGATACTAGTGCTTACCGCCTGAGCGAGTTGGTAACTACCACGATATCGACGGAATACAAGTTTCATCTGCTTTTATCTTCTGGACACCAGTTACGCTGTTTTCGTTTCTCGCGAAATCTGTTATTGTATTAATGCCAACTTTAATCATATCCCACGAGCAACGAACAGAAACGCTCGCTGCGTTTCGTCCAAACAGAAAGGGAAAGTTTCTTGCTTGTGATCTTGCTTTACTCGTCCACTGGTGAAAGTATGCAGCTACCAAATTTGCGACATCGATTGTAGGGTTCACTCTACGTATGTGTTTTTAACGTGAATGATATTAAACGGCATGGGACGATGTCATGGTGGTCAAGATCGTCATTAGTTAACGTAATTATTGAAAAATGAAGAACGTCTGACGAGCTTTGGAAAAACCATGTATTATAGAATAATAGATTACATTGTTCGTGGTAATAATGATATAATAAACCAGAATATACCTGACAATAATAATAATAATAATAATCTAAAATAACGCGAATACTGAATACATATTATTAACAATAATGAGAGGAGGGACTTTGGGGATGTGTTTGGCAAAAGAAGGGGCCAAGCCGCTCAGAACTGCGCTTCAAATAAAAGAACATAAGAGGGATAGAATATTCGTTAAAATTAAGAAGAGCTTTGTATCGAGAACCTAACGATCTTCGACGTATTTACTAACCTTTAAAAAATAATTGACTAAACAGCCTGAGGCGCGATACGAATTTCTCTCGCGTGTACGAATCCGCTCCTCTTCGAAGAAATTAGAACCTCGCGTGGAAAAGAAAGTATAGTATTTCATTCGAAAATTAATTGAACTAGTTAGAGCGATAAAAAAACAAAACAAAATGGAGGAATGACAATTGATTGCGCGTACTAAGACTTACTGCTAAATTAATTACGATAAATCGCTAACGAGCAACTTACAATTTGATTCCTTTTTTTTTTTAAAAAAGCAACGCATTGATGACGCTGAGTGATATAAAATGTAACATCTTTTGAAAAAATAATAAAATAGAGAATTTTTTGCGTCCTCTCCGATTAAGCATAAAAAACCCGTAATGCTTCGTTATGTGCTGTTGTGTAGATATATAAAAGAAAAAACAAGGAAAAATCCTGTATAGGCGTAGTACGTACATGTACATACGTGTGGCGTTATCAATCATCTCGCCTACGGAACGTCCGAACATTTCGTTCTAATATTCCTCGTCGGTATGTTATAATTTTCACGAGAAGAACGATCGTGTCTTTCTTTTCCTTTTCGTTTCACGCAGTGTCGAGAAGCAAAAGAGCGAGGGAGAGTAAACAAGAAAAAAAAAAAAGAAAGAAAATCAAGTATCATCGATAGCTGAGAAGAATGCTTCGAAAGCTACAACTCTGTTCGAATGATTCTCTCCATATAAAGCCCGACTAGTAATACAGATAAAATGGTAAGAGACTTTCGATTGATAGATCGGATTTGTAATGCGTATTCTAATTAATTGAAAGCTTTGTGCGTTCATGACATCCACGGTAATAAGGATAGAATCATTTTGACAGAGTACGTTCATATTATTCTTCGTCTTATCAGCTGTAAATGATAAATTATCTTTTTTTCACCCGAGAGCCAGCTCGTTTTGGGAATCGTTATCTTCCAGTCTTGCGGATTGGTCCTTTCCCACCACGTATCGATAATAAACTAATTTATTCACGAGCTGAGATCTTAACCTTACTAACGAAAGCACCTCGAATACACTAAACAAGAGAAAAAAAGAAAGTAATGAGAACAAAATGTAAATAGTGTTCAGAAATCAGGAGAACAATAGAAACGGGTATTGAGGTTAGAATTGGCTCAGTTGCATGGACAAATCACACTGACATTTGTATTGTTCGCTTTTTGATACTGTTTTTTTTTTTGTCTTTCAATTCTATACCGACTGTAAACGATCCACGGGGGTATATTGTTTTAAAATAGTAAAGCATGCAAATTCAAGTCGCGCGAACGCACGACACGACGCTGGCCTAACAATGCTAAATAAATCGACGCGACACTGTCGTCTTTTTTTCCTTTTTTTCTTTTCGTGGCAGCGATGCTTTGTGTTTCATTTAGAATGCAAAACGGCACGTCGAATTTACAGAGGCCTCGCGGTAATTCGATACAACTAACGCACCATAGTGATATAAGCAAAATTTATTAATTGACCGTGAGAATTTCTGTCAACTTTGACCAACGACAAAACGAACGATTGCTCATATCTGTTTTCATGAATCATTGAAAGCCTCTTAGGCGAGCTGAAAGCTGTCACGTAACAGTGTTTGGTAGATTTTAAGTATCGAATGACGATAAAAAGGTTAAAAAAAAAAAAAAAAAAGTTTTTAATAATAAAATACACCTGTCAGTCACATCATCTCCCACATTAAAGTGTCTAAAAACTGGTGTAAAAATTTGTGTAAAACTCGGATGTATTCCATATCATTTGTGTTTCATTAAAAAGAAGAATCCTAAAACCGCTTTCTAAATACCCTGTACAATTAAGATAAAATTTTTGTTTGCAACGAAAAAGAACTCACACTCTTCGTACTCTTGTTATGTAACAGCTAGCAGCACAGATTCGACGAGAAGAAGCTGGTCAATTAATAAATTGTTTGTGTTACGTTTTCCTCACTCATCATTTAACACAATTCGTGAAGATTTGGCAGCCCTGTGTTTTGTTTGCAGCTAATAAACTATGGCATACAATAGAATGCGGCGACAGAACCATCGACTGTACCGAGTGGACGAACTTGTTCTTGTTTTTCGTTAGTCTTCACACGCGTATTCGAGGTCCCCTTCTACGCGCGAGATCTTACAGGATTACGATAAATAAAGAAGACGAGAATGTCCTCGTAAGGAAGCACTGACGTGTAAACGAGGACTCGAGTACGATTCTTAAAAGCTATTCTCAAAATCTAATACGTAGTATATTCCATGATATAGTACTCTATATTCTGCACCACTCGGTATAATTCCAATAGGTAATTCCTTTAATTAAAAAATGGAAGGATCAACGACTTCAGAAGCATTTAATTTTTCAATATAGCTGCTCCTAGATCTATTAATCCTTCAATTTTTAACGTGTATCATGAAAGAGCAAATAATGATCTCTGGTAGCGTATACTCATCGAATAATCAACTACCAGCGATATATGTTTTGGAATTCTTTTAACTGTTTCATGGGTAGGTAAGTACGAGACGACCGACTGTTGCATCATCGTGAAACTGTCTTGTCGAGACTAACCTATGGAAACGATTCAATATTTTTCGTTATACATACTAATTGGGTTTTTTTTCCAGCAAACGGTAGATTCGAGACTGTACCACTTCGGACGCGTATTCTGGTCAAATCCAAAATCATAGGTTGCGATTTGTTTTCGTGCATCCGGCATAGTAACGTTGACGGTGTCTCTTTCGAACAGCATATCACTATCATATAGTTAATATCAATTCGTCTCACTCGAAGATCATCGATATGAATTATCGGAAGCAACAATCCTTTGACGGACCGTGGCGAGCAAATATGCGTATTATTTTGTCTAATCGCTTTAGCATGCAACTGTTTACATAGATCGTTATCACGGTGAACATCCTCTGCACTTGTTTAGAGTTTAGCGACGATTGCTGATAAATCCAGTGGTAAGATCTTCCGTCACAAGTTTCTTTGTATCGTTCGGAGAAGGTAGATATTATCACTTTCATCGACGTTTAAACTAATAGGTTCTGTTACTCGAATAACTCTCACTATACGATCCGTCTCGTCGAAATTATGCGAAGGAAGACGAATGGATTCGTCGGGAAACTAAACGGCGTTTAACGAAAGCACGTCCTGATATTTAGGTACATATTTTGTTCAGATATATTGTGGTTTTCGAGTCCCCTTCTTAGCGTCTGCATCCTCCTGACTTCTTTATTGGTTAACGTTCTATCTATTTACACTGAATTCATTGCTCCTCTCAGCCTCGAGCCCTTGTACCTTGTACTAGCTACGAACTAGGCTATCACGAGAGCACGGGACTAACTTCGGTCGCTTCTTTGCAGTCTTGAATAGATATCTGAGCCAATTCGCTCATTACCTCTTCGTGTGTCATCGAGTCTGATTTCTTTAATATCGTGTATCCCTGCTGCGGTTCTTCGTTCTCGCCGTTCGTCTTGGCGTTACCCTTGTGATTTGTCCAGTCGAGTTCTGATTGTCTGACATTTTTTCGCCAAACCTTCATATACCTGGCAGAGTTCTGAAGACATTTCTTCGAAGTACTCTCTTTGTGCTTGTTGCCTTTTATTATGATAGCCTTTGATTTCGGATACTTCTGTTCGGATGAGTTCTGACCGTTCGGAACATCCGTGTGTTTCGTTTCGTGCAGTTTCTCCTCTGAAGGATGTCCATCTTCGGAGGTATTCGGCGCGTCTTGTCCTGTAGTCGTCGACAGGGGATCTGAAGTACGAGTATCATTTGATTTCCTAGACGAGTCGAGCAGCTCGCCATCGGACTCGTCATCCTTTTTAACCTCTTCGTCCAAATCCGTGACCTGCACATTTTTCGTTTCTTCAGCGGAATTTTTTTCCGTGGCTACCTTATCTGTGAATGCGTGATGATTCGCGTCTTGTCGATTGGTCGATGGTAATTCTCGCTGGAGGACCTTGACAGGGCTTTTTGGTTTCGTACCGTTGTCGGATATATCTTTATTTTGACAATTCGTACAGGAAGATTGTTTGGAATGAGTCGGGGAATTTACTTGTCTCTTGCCTCCGTTGTTCTTCTGCCCGAAATCCAAGTGCGGTCTTCCTAATTTCTGAAGGTATATCGACGAGGTCATTTGAGAGATGAACGACGCCGCTGGTTCGTATTGAGGTACAGGCTGTACATGATTCATGTGTATTTGTTGCTGTTGCGGTTGCATCCTGCGCATATCCATGTGCATCTTATCGTCCATTCGTTGTTGGTACGTGATATTCTGTTGGTAAGGTACTGCTAGGTTTGTATTCATATTCTGATTGATGTTCGTGTTTGCCGGTGGACCGTAATTAAGACTGGGGTTCGGATGTACGTATGAATCTACAGAGCTATACAGAGTGTCCATTCGTCTAAACAACATGTGACACTCTCTGGCTGGGTAGGCGGGACAGTTTTGTTTTTGTACAATTCTTCTAGATTGATACATCTGATCGTTCTGAGGAATCACTTGGGTCTGAGATTGATAACCGTAGCTCTCGTAGTGCATACCTCCATTGTTCATTGCCCTACCAAAAGCTACACTCGTATGATATTGAGGAGGTTGCGACGTATACTCCTGTTGTTGATGATCTTGATACTGAGGATACTGAGGGACAGGTGGCTGTGCGTCGATCCAAGTTTCTTGTTGCGGAGGAGGTTGCTCCAAATCTCGTCTGGCTTGCACCGCGTTCCAAACATCTTTCAGTTCGCCGGTAATATCTCGGTCCTTTAATATCGTATACTGTCGTGTAAAAACCACTCCTGCGTTCACCGTTTCGACAAAGTCTAGTAAAAGTTCTATTAAACAGGAACGCTTCTGTAATAAAGCAACGTAGAAAATTAGTTTTCATAAATAGTTGTACATATTACAGCTATGTATTTAAACTACCTTTGGGTCTGTAGCATTTTTGCCATTAATTTGAAGATATCCCGGATTAGTCATTACCGCGAAGACAACAGCTTCGGCTTTCGTACGCGGTGGTCGTACTCTCATTCCTCCGTAAAGTGGTACAGGTACAGAAGACTTCAATGGCATTGTAATTTTTTCCCAAGATAAAACATTTACATAACATGGAACTGTAGTGCCCTGAAATAACAAACCATCTAACTTCTAACTCTGACCCGGATTGAAACATCTTAAGAAAATATATAATTGCAATATTATTATATTACATATTGTATAAAACTGTACCTGTATATAATCTTGTATGCACATATGGGGCTGAGGAGGGTTTCTGAAGAGACGAGCGCCATTGCGCTTCATTCTTGTTACGCCACCCTCAGTCATTTCGTAACTGAAAATAAATTTGTACTGAAGTTTAGTGTCACATGCCGACACTGAAGTTTCATCTGTGTGAGTGTCATAACTGTATGTATATTTAAATCAATACAAGAGTTATATAAAAATAAAATTCGTTAACAAAACTGATTCGCTACTATTATTTAAGAATTGTGTGTCTGTTGGAGTCTAATTCGTTATGTATCGTGAACGATAAAGTCTTACCTCGAATAAAAAAAAATTACGAACACCAACGTTTGCGAGTCTCTTTAAAACAACGAAGAAAACGATCGGTTACAGAGTATCAGCAGTTTTGTAGTAACCATTACGACACAACTGTAAATAGGAGCGATAGAAGGAGCGGCTGAAAATTCGTAACAACAAATGTGGCGGAGCAAATGCGTCAAATCGCATGCTGGCACTCTTTTAACGTACTGGTGTACTCGGAAAATGTAGAAAAGTATATTTTCAACTCGAATGCACCGCGTATACGTTCGATAATGGACGTCGAGCATCGAAACGGAGCAATTTTCATAACATCCCAGACGCGTTGGAACTCTCTCGTTGCTCGACCATCGTAGATTGTCAATATAACCTCAAAGTGCGTCTAGCTTACACACCGAATACTCCAACGAATATAAACGAAACGATTACTTTCGTGACGCAATACATTATCGGGACGGTATGTAATCCTCTGTTACGTAAACTCACCCCGCGATGCTGTTTCACGCGTAAAAACACTCAAACAAACAGGAACACGACACGATACATTATCGGGCAGCTTCGGTGGAAAAGATCCATCGCTCCTTTTGTTTATTATTTTTCCGGAGTCTGCGCGATTAAATTCGACCACTGGCGCTCTTTTACCTCGCGCGGACGAATTACGAACTAAAATCTCCAAGATGGCCGAAACTGGAAATCACGCTTGATGCATCGATGTGAAGCGGACTGAAAAGTCCCTAAATGAAATTTTCATACTTCTAAGTAATGCTAATTTCTATTTTTTGCCAATAATTGGAAGAAAATAGGACTTGAAATGATAATGATTAATTTTTTAGAAGGAAGAAATGATAGATAGTTTGGTTTTTATCTAGAATCATCTTTGGTACATTTGGAAAAAAAGTCAAACAACATTTGTTAATAAATGTTGTTTAACGAGAACTGAATATACTGAATAACTGAAAATCAGAATATATATATATGGATTTAAAAAATTTTTTCTTCGAGTCTAAATTATTTTTCATGAAGGAAGTTAATAGAGTAAAGATCGACATAGATACATTAATTAACAATCGAATTGACTTTGACAGTGAAATTGGCGGGATTTGGCTGTGAGAATTTATCCTGCGCAATTTTTTTTCGACGCTATGGGTAAGAACAATTTTTGTTTAACAATTGTAATTAATTCAGTAACAATATCAGTGCTTTCGTTCTTTTGATTATAGTAATGACTCTGTGCTCGGTAGAATTGACTATGCAGCTACAGAATCCCTCTAAAATCTTCTCTTCGAAAACCAGGTACCCACTTACGTCTTCTCGATCTACACTTTATCGTTACATCCATAACGGGTCGTTATTTTTACGAATTTCATTTTTATGTCAAACGTTTTTACTGTAGCTCGGTAACGAATATCATTGTTTTCGAAAAGTAAAAAAAAATATATCATTACACGTATTGCATTTCTAGTTATATTTATTATCTCGCATCTCGTTTTCATACACCCTGTTTGTCCCCGGTTGGAAAATCGCGTATTTTCGTTTCGCAGTTTGACGGGGTGAAAATAAAAGTGTTACAGAACCGTTAATTCTCGTAATGTTAAATAATAACAGCGATTCCACAGTGTCGTTCTTTTTTCCGTAATAATCTATCCCCCGTTTAATTTAATTTTTATCGATGATGCAGCCAATTATCCCACAAATATCCAGCCTGGTCTTTCATAACCTAATACGACGCAATGGAATTAATTACCGCTTTGTAAAGTAGAGGTAGTTGTGGACTAACGAGATTAAACATTCCTGGTAGTATCGAGGTGGTAAATTCAATAAGAAAACGTTCCACTTACACGATATGTTAAATAGGTAGATAGGTAGTTCGTAGTATCAAGCAGAGTAAGTTATCGTTGATTAACATTCTTGCGAGTTCGGAAAGATTACGAACGAGTATTCTAATCGTAATACATGTACAATTTGGATATATGCTTGTTTACCTAGGCTAACTTGGGCCTTAGGTAGATAAGGCTACCCAATCGTTCTAATAATATACATATGATACTTATTAGAACGATTGGGGGAACTCCCATGTGTCGAACTAGGCAGGTGACACGTCGGTAATGAGAGTAATAGAAACTCTTTTTTATCGATGTAGAACATTGTATTATCTAAATCTAAAGAAACTAACCTATGTAAATGATGATAAAATAAAGTATCATAT